GTGACATCAGTCGGTGTGTCACAGTAGGTGAGGTGTACAAGATACCAGTTGTATGTGTCACATCAGTCGGTGTGTCACAGTAGGTGAGGTGTACAAGATACCAGTTCCATGTGTCACATCAGTCGGTGTGTCACAGTAGGTGAGGTGTACAAGATACCAGTTCTATGTGTCACATCAGTCGGTGTGTCACTGTAGGTGAGGTGTACAAGATACCAGTTCTATGTGTGACATCAGTCGGTGTGTCACAGTAGGTGAGGTGTACAAGATACCAGTTCCATGTGTCACATCAGTCGGTGTGTCATAGTAGGTGAGGTGTACAAGATACCAGTTCTATGTGTCACATCAGTCGGTGTGTCATAGTAGGTGAGGTGTACAAGATACCAGTTCTATGTGTCACATCAGTCGGTGTGTCACAGTAGGTGAGGTGTACAAGATACCAGTTCTATGTGTCACATCAGTCGGTGTGTCACAGTAGGTGAGGTGTACAAGATACCAGTTCTATGTGTCACATCAGTCGGTGTGTCACAGTAGGTGAGGTGTACAAGATACCAGTTCTATGTGTCACATCAGTCGGTGTGTCATAGTAGGTGAGGTGTACAAGATACCAGTTCCATGTGTCACATCAGTCGGTGTGTCACAGTAGGTGAGGTGTACAAGATACCAGTTCTATGTGTCACATCAGTCGGTGTGTCACAGTAGGTGAGGTGTACAAGATACCAGTTCTATGTGTCACATCAGTCGGTGTGTCACAGTAGGTGAGGTGTGTACAAGATACCAGTTCTATGTGTCACATCAGTCGGTGTGTCACAGTAGGTGAGGTGTACAAGATACCAGTTCTATGTGTCACATCAGTCGGTGTGTCACAGTAGGTGAGGTGTACAAGATACCAGTTCTATGTGTCACATCAGTCGGTGTGTCACAGTAGGTGAGGTGTACAAGATACCAGTTCTATGTGTCACATCAGTCGGTGTGTCACAGTAGGTGAGGTGTACAAGATACCAGTTCTATGTGTCACATCAGTCGGTGTGTCACAGTAGGTGAGGTGTACAAGATACCAGTTCTATGTGTCACATCAGTCGGTGTGTCACAGTAGGTGAGGTGTACAAGATACCAGTTCTATGTGTCACATCAGTCGGTGTGTCACAGTAGGTGAGGTGTACAAGATACCAGTTCTATGTGTCACATCAGTCGGTGTGTCACAGTAGGTGAGGTGTACAAGATACCAGTTCTATGTGTCACATCAGTCGGTGTGTCACAGTAGGTGAGGTGTACAAGATACCAGTTCTATGTGTCACATCAGTCGGTGTGTCACAGTAGGTGAGGTGTACAAGATACCAGTTCTATGTGTCACATCAGTCGGTGTGTCACAGTAGGTGAGGTGTACAAGATACCAGTTCTATGTGTCACATCAGTCGGTGTCACAGTAGGTGAGGTGTACAAGATACCAGTTGTATGTGTCACATCAGTCGGTGTGTCACAGTAGGTGAGGTGTACAAGATACCAGTTGTATGTGTCACATCAGTCGGTGTGTCACAGTAGGTGAGGTGTGTACAAGATACCAGTTGTATGTGTCACATCAGTCGGTGTGTCACAGTAGGTGAGGTGTACAAGATACCAGTTCTATGTGTCACATCAGTCGGTGTGTCACAGTAGGTGAGGTGTACAAGATACCAGTTCTATGTGTCACATCAGTCGGTGTGTCACAGTAGGTGAGGTGTACAAGATACCAGTTCTATGTGTCACATCAGTCGGTGTGTCACAGTAGGTGAGGTGTACAAGATACCAGTTCTATGTGTCACATCAGTCGGTGTGTCACAGTAGGTGAGGTGTACAAGATACCAGTTCTATGTGTCACATCAGTCGGTGTGTCACAGTAGGTGAGGTGTACAAGATACCAGTTCTATGTGTCACATCAGTCGGTGTGTCACAGTAGGTGAGGTGTACAAGATACCAGTTCTATGTGTCACATCAGTCGGTGTGTCACAGTAGGTGAGGTGTACAAGATACCAGTTGTATGTGTCACATCAGTCGGTGTGTCACAGTAGGTGAGGTGTACAAGATACCAGTTCTATGTGTCACATCAGTCGGTGTGTCATAGTAGGCGAGGTGTACAAGATACCAGTTGTATGTGTCACATCAGTCGGTGTGTCACAGTAGGTGAGGTGTACAAGATACCAGTTCTATGTGTCACATCAGTCGGTGTGTCACAGTAGGTGAGGTGTACAAGATACCAGTTCTATGTGTCACATCAGTCGGTGTGTCACAGTAGGTGAGGTGTACAAGATACCAGTTGTATGTGTCACATCAGTCGGTGTGTCATAGTAGGTGAGGTGTACAAGATACCAGTTCTATGTGTCACATCAGTCGGTGTGTCACAGTAGGTGAGGTGTACAAGATACCAGTTCTATGTGTCACATCAGTCGGTGTGTCACAGTAGGTGAGGTGTAAGATAAGATACCAGTTCTATGTGTCACATCAGTCGGTGTGTCACAGTAGGTGAGGTGTACAAGATACCAGTTCTATGTGTCACATCAGTCGGTGTGTCACAGTAGGTGAGGTGTACAAGATACCAGTTCTATGTGTCACATCAGTCGGTGTGTCACAGTAGGTGAGGTGTACAAGATACCAGTTCTATGTGTCACATCAGTCGGTGTGTCACAGTAGGTGAGGTGTACAAGATACCAGTTCTATGTGTCACATCAGTCGGTGTGTGTCACAGTAGGTGAGGTGTACAAGATACCAGTTCTATGTGTCACATCAGTCGGTGTGTCACAGTAGGCGAGTGTACAAGATACCAGTTCTATGTGTCACATCAGTCGGTGTGTCACAGTAGGTGAGGTGTACAAGATACCAGTTCTATGTGTCACATCAGTCGGTGTGTCACTGTAGGTGAGGTGTACAAGATACCAGTTCTATGTGTCACATCAGTCGGTGTGTCATATAGTCAGTCGATACCAGTGTATGTCACATCAGTCGGTGTGTCATAGTAGAAGGTGTACAAGATACCAGTTGTATGTGTCACATCAGTCGGTGTGTCACAGTAGGTGAGGTGTACAAGATACCAGTTCTATGTGTCACATCAGTCGGTGTGTCACAGTAGGTGAGGTGTACAAGATACCAGTTCTATGTGTCACATCAGTCGGTGTGTCACAGTGGGTGAGGTGTACAAGATACCAGTTGTATGTGTCACATCAGTCGGTGTGTCACAGTAGGCGAGGTGTACAAGATACCAGTTCTATGTGTGACATCAGTCGGTGTGTCACAGTAGGTGAGGTGTACAAGATACCAGTTCTATGTGTCACATCAGTCGGTGTGTCACAGTAGGTGAGGTGTACAAGATACCAGTTCTATGTGTCACATCAGTCGGTGTGTCACAGTAGGTGAGGTGTACAAGATACCAGTTCTATGTGTGACATCAGTCGGTGTGTCACAGTAGGTGAGGTGTACAAGATACCAGTTCTATGTGTGACATCAGTCGGTGTGTCACAGTAGGTGAGGTGTACAAGATACCAGTTGTATGTGTCACATCAGTCGGTGTGTCACAGTAGGTGAGGTGTACAAGATACCAGTTCTATGTTGTCATGTGTCACAGTAGGTCAAGATCCAGTTCTATGTGTCATCAGTCGGTGTGTCAGGTGAGGTGTAGGTGTACAAGATACCAGTTCTATGTGTCACATCAGTCGGTGTGTCATAGTAGGTGAGGAGTTCTACAAGATACCAGTTCTATGTGTCACATCAGTCGGTGTGTCACAGTAGGTGAGGTGTACAAGATACCAGTTCTATGTGTGACATCAGTCGGTGTGTCACAGTAGGTGAGGTGTACAAGATACCAGTTCTATGTGTCACATCAGTCGGTGTGTCACAGTAGGTGAGGTGTACAAGATACCAGTTGTATGTGTCACATCAGTCGGTGTGTCACAGTAGGTGAGGTGTACAAGATACCAGTTGTATGTGTCACATCAGTCGGTGTGTCACAGTAGGTGAGGTGTACAAGATACCAGTTCCATGTGTCACATCAGTCGGTGTGTCACAGTAGGTGAGGTGTATCTTGACGTGTCAAACAACGTGAGAGGCCCATGTTCACTGTACTCAGTAACGAGCACAACCTGGTCCCCTAGGTAAGCTGCGCTGCGCTTCACTGACCCTGGCAAAGACCGGCGGCATCCACAAGTGGGTAAAGCGCTATTTACTGTAGAAAAATCCAAGAACGAGTGGTTAAAATGATTTTTAGCATTTCCATCGGTACTCAAGTAAGGTGTACGTCACCAAAACAACACCCATCGTTACCTTTAGAGTAGGGAAACGTTATTTAAGCAGTTTCGAGACGGGAAAGTCGCCGTAACATGGGCGAAATGTAAACAGTGACTCCCACACACCATTTTCAACATCGATACGTACATTAATGTTTCGTGTCAGCTCGCTATTGTCACGACATCGTGCAACATATCGTCAGCATGTTTACTTTAGTAAATTTGATGACGCAGATATCGCCGATTAGGTCACGTACCTTCCATCGCTGTATGGAGGGCTTAATGGAAATATTGTTCGACCGCCCAGCATAATAATTAGGGAAAAGAACGTATCGGTTACGGGCGGAGTCCGCCATTGTGTAGTCATTGCCTGGGTCAGTGAAGCGTCAGCGCAGCATACCCAGAGAACCAGGTTGTAATGAGCAGTGTAAAGTCTGACTGACTGAGTTTAGTTTTACGCCGCTTTTAGCAATATTCCAGCAATATCACGGCAAGGGACACCAGAAATGGGCTTCACACATTGTGCCCATGTGGGGAATCGAACCCGGGTCTTCGGCGTGACGAGCGGACGCTTTAACCACTAGGTTACCCCACCGCCCCGTATAGTCTGAACGTCCAAGTGTATACTTTATTTAATCCGGCAAATATGTCTGGGTAATCGAGGATTAGGAAGGTTACGCTTCCAACAATTGCTTACAACGTCATTTAAAACGAAATATGGCGTGATGACGTCTTTTCTTTATGTTTCAGATATGTTTCACAGACCGAGGCAACGGTCAGAGATTGTCGCCCCTCACCGCTCTTCTTTCAAGGAGTTACATAAAGACATTGAGCGTTTGACACGCATGCGCAAGTCAAGCAATAACTCCGGAAGTGGCAGCTGGTTACGGAAACTGGTTCTCATGCGTGCGCTGATGAATCAACCTGTGATTCAAAAACGACTTGAATTGAACTGTGATACAACCCGCATTACCATTCAAATAATACTTGAGTATTTGAGGAGCGGAAGAATATGTGGGTTTAGGGTAACAACAGTGCGTTTCGGACTGGGCGGAAGGAGGTAGACCGGAAGTACTATGTAACACTGCTCTAAAGCCAGCCGAATCAGATCAAAGAGTTGCCTGGGACGCGGGAATATCGTTTAACTATTCAGTGAAACCCCGTTGATCCGACAAAATACCGAATTTGGGCGATTATGTTTGGATCATAAATAATAATTCGGAGTATATACGTATATAACATGACCCCGAGCTGAGAATTCTTTATCCGGATTGTTTCACTGTGCGGATTAACGAGGGTTCACTGTAACTATTTCATTGGTTCTACTTCTCCTGTAACATACATTGCACGCAGTGAACATGAACGTGGGAACGATGCAGTTGTCATAGATAATTATAGCATGGGACTTTGGTCCGCATCACTCCTTGTGTGTAGTCAGTGTTTTGAAGGCGACGGATGTGACAGGAAGCCTATTTCAGAGAAAGTAATGCTGATGACAACGATTATAGATCAGTGAATGTGCATTCGTCGCTAGAGGGTGTTGCGGCACATGAGTTGGCCGTCAGAAGGCGCTGTGGAGCCGAGGAACACAATCAGTGGGAATCTTTTGAACGCTCTTCTTGAAGAACCTGAATAGCTGCTCAAGAGGACAAATAGATGCCCCTGCATCAAAAGCGTGGATATGTTTTGTTGTTTGTGAAATTACAGTGTGACATTTGTGGTAATACGAACCTTTCGGCTTGAAGGCAACACAGCAATGTACATAGTTAGACCTGTATTGTTATTTCAGTGATAGCTTGCTAGTCCAGAAACCTCGCTAGTCCGGACACCCTACGAATACTGCTGAGTGGGTTGCCATACATACAAGTGGACCTTTTTAAATTTGAAATATTTGAGAAAACAGGTGATGTCGGATTTGGCTCCGGATTAACGGGTTTCCATTGTTTCTTATATAATTGAGATATCTATCCAGTTTCTAGAAACCGGACAACACGATTTAAAGGGGCCATGTGCGCTATTGAGTTAGGGCTTAGAACTAGTCATTGTAATAAGCAAAATGGGACACAATCATTGTCTATGATAACGGCGTTACTATGAACTGCCAGATTTGTATATTTAGCAGAAATCTTAAGTCGAACGTGGACGTTGAATCAGACTTGTTGGACTGCCAATTTTACGGACCTTAATGTCCCTTTAAACCCCTAATATTTAAGATCGACTCCGATATATTCTTTTTTGTTTATAGAGCTATAAACGTAAACATCCGACGTGCACATGGCGTAAAACGAGCTTGTACGTTCATAACTCCAAATCTTATAAATTCTTTTAAAGAAATATGTCAACAATAAAAGCTTTATAGATTACTTTGTAATCAATAATAGTTAACTCCTTGAGAAAACAACACGAAATCGGTGATGTCGTTTATCGCAATAATTTAACACGTGCCCCAACAATTCTAGTATAAGCCAATCAAAAATCCGCAATCCAAAGTGGTTGATTATCATTGGTTAAGGAAACTAGTACACAAAATGAATGTATTAGTTAACCAATCAAAAGCTACGGAATTACCTCAATATTCATTTATGATTGTACCAATCGAATCGGGAAATGGTCGGTTTAGATAATCAAATGTGAAATAAATTTGAAATTATTGCTAAAACCTTACACCCGTGCGAAGCTATGGCTTTGAATACAGGTCCGCTTTAAGTATTAGTGTGCACGGACAACGGACAAGCAGCTATGTCTTAGGCTGGTTGTAATCTGTAGTAGATGTTAGTTAGTTGTTTTGTCTCTTGTTTTGACGATCTCTCACAATCCATTGGCGTTTCTTTTATAAGAATAAAGTGGTCTCTAATGTATGTTCGTGTTTGTGTTATGTGCTGAGTGTTTAACGAGTCATGAACGGGCGCGGTCAAACACTACGGACACCCGTCAAGACTGGATCATATATTCAATACTGGTTTATAAATACATATGTTCTATTCTTAGTTAAGCCATGGTCATGCTTCTGAAAGTATCTTACACCTATCTCGTGTATTGATCTATAAAGAATTTTTTTTTTGATGTCAATAACGTTGAGAGGTTTGCTGTACAGTACGTATTATCATAAGAATGGTTTACGCGGTAGGGAAGAAGCAAGTTCTATTTTGGATCATTTAAAGCCCTTAGTTCTTGGTTGTCTTGTGATATTACAAAACCTATATTATGATGGACGTTTCCTGTAAGTAGGCGAGATCAAATGGATTCCAGAGTCACCACTAATCCATCCTCGATCATTCATCAACATTACATACATACACTAAACGCCAAAAGAAACGTTACCCTCATTTCTTAATGACGGGACCGTTTCCGTGGTATAGTGGTTAGAGCGTCCGCCCGGAGAGCGGAAGGTCGCGGGTTCGATCCCCGTCCGCGTCATACTAAAAGACGTGAAAATATGGTACTTGTTGGTCTCTGCCTGGCGCTCGGCATTAATGTGTACATCAAGGACTGGTCGGCTCGGAGTCAGTATAATGTGTCTGAGTGGGGTATTCATGCTTCACTGCGGCATGGTATCTCAGTGAGCTAGCACTATAAAACCAGCTTAAGTCTGGGCTAGTACAAGCAGCCGCACATACACATACACACGCATGCACGTCGTCATATGAGCGAAATATTCTCAAGCACGACGTAAAACCAAGTTTCACCTCACCTCACCTCCTCACCTTAATGACGGAGGTACCTATCTACAGCTGGCGTTGTGATGCGTGGACGTCCATTTCTTGGTCCGTCTACGGTGACCCCGGTCTGTCCGAAGCCCTGAATAAGTCTTGTAACCGTGATACGGTGGCATCCGAGGGCGTTGGCAACAGCATTGTATGTCGACCCAATCTGCGCCATCTCAATGGCCCCTTCTCTCTCTTCAGCTGTTAATCGTGGCTTATTTCTCGTTCTTGTGTATCATATCATGCATTCTAGTCTCTCTTTATACCCTATGGAAATACTGCGTTTTGGCGATTGATATTGCCATGTGTAAACAGAAACAGGAAAAATGTTACTTTGCAAGCATAAAATGTTTACAAAGATAATTTTAGATGTTCCTAAACATTTTTTCACAATATCAAATACACGTTGCACTTGTTTTCACTAATGCAAATTAGCAGAAATTTATTAAAAGACTGAAATCATAGGAATGATTATTTTACAATTTTACACACTCTACAACAGTTGTTTCTTGTTTTAACAGTTGAAAAATGGTGACTTTAAATGGTTTATCTTTGTCTCAAAGCAGAATTTTATTTCAACCTTTCTTTTGGACATCTAGATCACTGTTATTAGTTCATTTCGGCATGGACGAAAATACGACAATTTAACTCTTCTGAAAAAGATGCATTTCACCTAAATATGAATGCATTTGAGAATTTATTTTCGTGATTTGCATAAAGCTGTGTTTTTACGCTTTCTTCTTAACTAATACCTTCTAACATCGGCAAGAGAAATAAGATGACACGCTAGACGACAAGACCAACCTTAAGGAGTAGTCTACATAGACTGACTATATACGATTTAAAACACAGGATATATCCAATTCAACCCGGGGCGGTGGGGTAGCCTAGTGGTTAAAGCGTTGGCTCGTCACTCCGAAGACCCGGGTTCGAATCCCCACATGGGTACAATGTGTGAAGCCCATTTCTGGTGTCCCCCGCCGTGATGTTGGTGGAATATTGCTAAAAGCGGCGTAAAACCAAACTCAGTCAGTCAGTCAGTCCAACTCAACCCGATTCTAATCTCTGATTTTTAAGTGTTTTGTTTCGTTTTGTTTTTGTTGTTGTTTTTGTTGTTGTTGTTTGTATTAAGTGGTAAACGTCGAGGGAAATCCAATGTTGGGTAGGTGATTACTATTTACAGGCGGCAAATGATGTTAATCAAGCAAAGCTGGGATTCGAACATACGATGTGTGTATCCTGGCAGGGCTAAAGGCCGTAACTCTGCACACACTTCACGGTGTCCTAGATGACGCAGCTGCCTGTTCCCCGTGGTCCAAGTCCCGCTTGCACAAAGCGATCTCAGCGCTACAACATTCGTAACTCCCATTCTAGAGTGAGTGATTGAGTGAGTGAGTGCCACTTTTAAGACATTTCCGGCAATATCACCTCGGGGGACACCAGAAATGGGCTTCACACATTTGAGAGTGAGTGAGTGAGTGAGTAGGATTTTACGCCGTTTTAGCAATATTCGAGCCATACCACAGCGGGGGACACCAGAAATAGGCTTCACACATGTAAACCCATATTGGGAATCGAACCCAGGTCTTCGGCGTGACGAGCGAACGCTTTAACCACTAGGCTACCCCACCGCCCGGCGCTGTGCAAGAAGATCCAGGTCGTAAAAAACAAGGTGAAAAATAATACTGACTACAGCTTTCAACTGAAACACGAGTACAAACAAACACACGACACAGAAACACCTTACAGTCATCACCAGCATCCAATTAAGGTAATGCTCACGGCCTTGGAAGTTAATCCTCAAGTTCAGTCATTGCAGCAGTAGTTACGATGGCACGTTCACCGTGAGCATCATTATCCTTACTCGAAACCCAAGGGATATTACTTATTGTGTGTATTTTTCAACACTCGTCTTAATACCTGATTTCACAGTGGAACCGTGGAATCCAATAACTGTAATTGCTAAGTTGACATTTAACATTTAAATAGTATACAACCTGGTATCTGTAGGTGTCATTATATTTTTAAAAACAGCATGAAGCCAGTAATTGTACACTGGTGTTAACATACATAGGTCAACGTTAACATAGGGGCGGTGGGGGTAGCCCAGTGGTTAAAGCGTTCGCTCGTTACGTCGAAGACCCGGGTTCGATTCCCCACATGGATACAATGTGTGAAGCCCATTTCTGGTGTCCCCCGCCGTGATATTGCTGGAATATTGCTAAAAGCGGCGTAGAACCATACTCACTCACTCACTCACTCACTCACTCACTCACTCACAACGTTAACATATCATGATATTGCCAAATGGCGTAAAAGTGGCATCAGCTGGTGTGTACATTAGTATAACTGGTAAAGAAAATCAATATACAGGCGGTCATTATTTTAAAAAAAATATGCTACGCTGCAAAATAGATTGCTATATTCTTTTGTAATCAAATCGATTATAATTTCACCGAGGCATTTAGCCATGACAAATATCGATTAACTAGGACTCGGTGTTTAGTTACTTTATTTAATAGAATCCCGCTTTTTATACTTGAAAATAATAGAGAACTCTTTGTATGTCAGTTCGACTGTGAGTCACGAAAAAACGATAATGCACCATCTAACTGTATGGGACTACGGTTGACATGTTGACGAAGCTACCGATAGATTAACAAGAGCAGATTGAGTGTAAACATACGTTTACAAGTGGGCGATCTTATCAGTTTGAAAAAAAATCAAACAAGAACAAGGTAGTTTTAAAAAAGATACATGTAGTATTAGTACGAGGTTATCAGTTTGAAAAATACATTAAAAAGAATACGGACGCGTTGGTATAAATCAGAGCCATGGTTAGGTACAAACAAAATTGCATGTTTTATTGCCAAGGTAACAAGACCTTGATTACACGGTTCTCAAAGAAATATATTCGACAGTTTCTTTTTCGTCAGTGTGTGAGTGAGTGAGTGCGTATGGTTTTACGCCGCTTTTAGCAATATTACAGCAATACCACGGCAGGGGACACCAGAAATGGGCTTCACACATTGTACCCATGTGGGAATCGAACCCGGTTCTTCGGCGTGACGAGCGAACGCTTTAACCACTAGGCTACCCCACCTCCCCCTTTTCGTCAGAGAATAAGTCAACAATAATATTACTAATAAATGCATAGAGAATTGTCTTTGATATTTGATCAAATATACATTATTCCTCTATCAACCCATAACTTTATAAAATAATTATTATAATTATTACACAGAAACCAAGTCAAAACATTGATTACACACAGTCTCGTTTCCTGTTGACTGGGTCCCGTCCTATTGCGCAACTTAGTACAATAACTAGTCCAGAATTTTGGGACCAATTCATTTAACTGGAAACATAATTATTAATCAGTATTATTTGATACATCTAAGCACTGGTATATTGCAACACTACGCTCATTTTAATCCTTGCAAACACGTCGTGCAGAGTGCTCTGTCGTACAGCGTGCTCTGACAAACGGAAACCTGGAAATCGTGGAAATCTCAAAACGAGGCTCTCCCGCTAGAAAAGTTTGGCGGTCTGGTACGGATTTGATATTATATCCATCACATTGTGCGTTACAGAACTACACTGAATAAGCGCAAAAACACATAACAGGTGTAACCAGTGTGCCAGATGCATTGTGAATCATTTTACGACCTCATCAAACAGGGGCAGTCTGTGACGTCTTAGTTAAGTCATGCTGCCTACACCTCGCCATAAAATATAGAAATACGATGTTATTAAAGTTTAAACTTAAAATACATTTGTAAATACCATTTTCTTATGAAACAAGAAATTGGAATTCAGTGTAACCATAGTTATTTATGATGTCTATTTTCACTTTCACACGCGAAAAAATTCGGATCGGCTGAAAAGTAGGTCATTGTCTGAATAGGTTAATGAAACTCATGTTTCGGTTTGATTTGGTCTTTGATGGGAGGGTGGGGACAAAAGGGGCTCATACTCCAGTAAAGCGAAACCAGCAAACATGGGTAGGTTGCTTAGAGGCCAAATATCAGAATCCAAGCGAATGTGGCATTTGAGTCATGGTAATCGGATCCTGGGACGGCAAAGGGGTACAATCTTTAGGCGACTGGGTTACCTAAATCTAGGTAAACTTAACTGGCTCTATTGTTTCTGAA